CTACATACTCATGATTAAGATTTAACACTTGTTAACATCTTACATTTTAACAATTTTGCTAAAGATAATTCAAAAACGACTGCAGCCATAATTCGACAGGGAACTGCCAGATGTCCAAGCTGGATTCAGAAGAGGATGTGAAACGAGGGATACCATTGCTGATATCAGATGGATCTTGGCCAAAAACAGAGAATATCAGAAAGATGTTTACCTGTGTTTCACTGTTGAAGGCATTCGACTATGTGGATCACATCAAATTATGGGTAACATTGTGAATAACGGTAATTTCAGAACACTTCATTGTACTAATGTGGAACCCGTACACAGATCAATAGGCAGTTGTTGGAAAAGAACAGGGGTATACTGCATGGTTCAAAATTAGAAAAGGTGTGTGTCTGGGTTGTATTCTTTCACCGTAGTTATTCAATCTGTATGCTGAACAAATAGTCTGAGAAGCTGGACTATATGAAGAAGAATGCAGCATCAGTGTTGGAAGAAGACTCATTAACAACCTACGATATACAGATGACACAACCTTGCTTGCTGAAAATGAAGGCAACCTGAAGCACTTACTGTTCTAAAGTCAAAGACTACAGCCTTCAGTATGGATTACACCTGAATGTGAAGAAAACAAAAATCCTCACAACTGGACTGATGAGCACCATCATGATAAATAAGAAACCGAAGCTGTCAATGATTTCATTCTACTTGGATGAACAATCATGTCCATGGAAGCAGAAGACAAGAAATCAAACAATGCATTGCACTGGACAAATCTACTATAAAAGACCTCTTTAAAGTTTTAAAAAGTAAAGATGTCACTTTGATGACTAAGGTGGTCCTGACCCAAGCCACGGTCTTTTCAATTGCCTCACATGCATGAGAAAACTAGACAATGAAAAAGGAAACAGAGAAAGAATTGATGCATTCGAACTGTTGTGTTGGCTGTTCGCAAAGAATGGTGAATATACTGTGGACTGCCAGAAAAATGAACAAATTAATCTTAAAGGAAATACAACCAGACTGCTCATTGGAAGTGAGGATGGTGAGACTTTGGCTTGTTTCCTTTGGACATATCATCAGAAAAGGCCAAAAGGAAAAGGACTTCATATTTGGTAAAGTAGCGGGCCAGCGAAAATGAGGAAAACCTTCAGCGAGATGGAATGACATAATAGCTACAACAATGGATTCAGACATACCAACAACCATAAAAATAGTACAACACTGGGCAACATTTCATTCTGTTACACATAAGGTTGTTATGCGTCAGAGTCGACTAAAGGGCAACTAACAACATCTTACCATAAGAAATTGTCAGTATAATTGGAAAGGCTTTTTGACAAGTGTTCCAAACCTTATTACAAATATTTTCCATGAATCACTAGTGTGAATTCTACACAGCAAATATATTAGTTACTTAACTCATCAGCCAATTCAAGGGAGAGGGGAACTATTATAAAAAACTATTTCCCTGTTTTGTAGGAAAAGGTTTCAAATGTTAGCCAGCAAAAGTTCTAAGTGCATGCACAACATAGACAGCTGCCATGGGAAAAGACAAGACTATAGGAAAAGTGAAAACCAGTCACAAAGCATATGCAGCAAAATGGAAATGTAGTAGAGAAATGAGTGTTGAGTACTAAATAGTTTTATTATAGAAAAGAAATGCTAAACTATCATATAGTATCATTTCTAATCTGGCTGAAAAACTGAAACTTGGGGTACCATTTAGAGGAAGGTACTAGGCACAAAACACGCTATTGGATGCCCTATGCCAAATTCAAAACAAGTATGCTGGAGGGTTGAAACTCCCAAAACAGAACTACTAGTTGTGTCTCTGGTATAACAATTTGGGAATGAAAGGAAAAAAATGCTACATAAGTAATTACAACAACTAGAAATGAATGGCTCAGAAAGGCATTTTGTCGTGCCAATTGGGGGGGTGGGGGTGGGGGGGTCAGTGCAGTGCACTGCACAGAGCACTCGGGGGCCAGACTGCTGGTGGTGGAATCCTGCGTCTGGCCCTTGAGTTCTTCATCAGTAAACTGAGTCGATAAAGCAAGTCAGATTCTGATAAATGGCAATTATTGCATGCAGCAATAGTTAACCCTCCCCTGGGGCTATACAGTAGGTTTTATATTCCACAACTTGAATAAAAAATAGAGAAAGGGGCAAAACAGAACCAAGGGAGTAACCTCATTTGCAACATCAACCATGTGCAAGGCCCCGTGTTTGGGACAAAAGATCAGACGACATGGTCCTTGATCTCAAAGAACTCACAACTACAATCCAACAAGAAAAGAACAGAGGTCTGAACAGAGCCCAAGAAACAGATTTTCACAAATAAGGTAAATACAAATTGCTCTAAAGTTTTTGTTTCCCATCAGCCAGTGCCAAATTATTACCGATACTATAACACCAAACACTTACCAAGCTTAGTACTATCTCTAACTTACTGGTCACCTATTGTGGTTACCTGGAAAGATGATGGGGATAATGTACATCACCACCTGTGCTATCTCTTACACTGCAGAGCACACAAAGGTATCTTTCAATGGTTAAATAAATCTCAGTTGCTTCTACAACGTTCAGAGTTTCTTTTAGGAACAGAACAATGTTATTCATTAACATATGTTTAAAGCTCAAAAGAGAAGGGGAGGGGGAATAATCATTTACGCTAAAAGTCGTTTTTGAAAGTAATCTACAGTGACCATTGCAATTTTAAACTGAAAACTGGGTCTGCAAAAATTAACATAAAGATATAATAGCCTAGAGGCCTCCGTTTTAGGCTCTGCATTTTCTGTGTCCCACAGAAGGTAGAAGAGAGAGCAGTGAGAGCTCTACTGGGTTTCTGGCATCTGTTACAAACAGCAAGGTGGGTGTATTTGACTTGCCCCCTTTTGTCATAAATGCTGTTCCCCTATGAAGCTATTAGGAAAAAGAACACTAATGAAAGCAACAGCCCTATTCTTTGAGCTTTTGGTTATTCATAAGAGCAGTACCCCCTGCCTCCTCTGTTCCTTCCTCACTATACCCATCAATTAACAACCTTTAACACAGATGTGTGAGTTCCCACTTTTTATGAGTCTTAAAAGGCAGAAAACGGTACTAAGTTGCAGAAGAAAATATATGCTCAGGTTTCTATGGAATTTCCAAACAGATTTTACTACATTATTTTAAATATTATAAGAGAAAGATTTAGTATTTACAGGATTAAATAAAAACTGTTGAAGGGGGTGGGAGAAAAATGAGGGTAATAATTCTCAGATGGAAAGCTGTATTCTAAATAGTTAAAAATGTTCTCTCAGTGACACAAGATCTTCATTGCAGGTATTTGCACCTTCTATGCCAGGGTTGTCTCTGTGGTCCTGGATCAGATGAAAGGTTTGCTAAAATTGTGGTAAAAAAATACTTGCCATTATTCAAAGTTTTAAAACATAACACAGTAAGAATTCCAGGAACTAAAGGGGCATGCCTTATTTACAGACAACCATAAAGAGCTATTAATTTTTAAACTCTTACCTATCAATCAAAACTCTTAATGGGAAAGAGGAAAAAAATCTTTTGGTTAACATTATAAATCAAAATGTAGGCATTTAAAGTACAGTACAGGCATGGACTATGGAGGAAATTACAAACCTTTAAAGGTCCTTTAGAATTAGAATGTGTTTTTTTAAATTTAACTACAAAGCCAGTGGCAGGAGAAAAACCATCTTAAAAAATAAAAAGGAAAATAACAAAGCAGTCTCTGTGACTCTGGCTGGAGAAGGAAAGGATTCTGGCAAGCACTCTTCCTCATACACAGGCATAGTACTGAAGAGTCTACTCCCCTGGTCTGTCACCAACATGGCTGACCTTATCTGTGCTTCCTCTTATGAGGCCCAGAAACAGCAGAGATAACAACTGGGACAAGGAAAAGGAAACACATCCCTGGAGATTACTTGGACAGAAACACTTCTATTAATGAACTCCAGGAAAGTACCGAGGATAGGGAAGCTAAGTATCCGAGGGACTAAATGAAGTAGAACGGAAAGGAGTTTCAATAGGGCAAAAACCAGGAAAGGGCGCAGAAAGACATAAACAAAAAAGGCACTCACAAACAGAGACAAACACATATGTCCCTCCCCAGGAGAAAAAAATAACAAAAAAATACTCTCATATTTTTCAAGTCTAGATGAATTATAGTTACTACCATGAAGAAAGTTACAGTATATTATCAAATGACAGAACATTAAAAAATTTTGCTCTGTATAGAATCTGTTACTCAATGTGTTATTCTAAGAAGATTCTATGCCTGGAGAAATACTGTCTCAAAGCAACTAAAATAGTAATAAAACAAACACTTGGATTTGAAGATGAAAAGGAAAACTCTCTGGTAAAATAAAAGCAACACTGAGGTTTTGGTTCTTTGTTTTAAGAAACAGGTTTTTTTTAAACTTCTGGGATTAAAATGTAATTTTAATAACTGCAGTGTTACTGAGCTGCACGTTGTTGTTGTTGTTAGGTGCTGGCAAGTCAGTTCCAACTCACAGCGACCCTAGGCGTAACAGAATGATGTCTGGTCCTGCCCCATCCTCACAATCATTGTTATGCTTGAACCCACTGTTGCAGCCACGGTGTCAGTCCATCTCATCGAGGGTCTTCCTCTTTTTCACTGACCCTCTACTTTACCAAGCATGCTGTCCTTCTCCAGGGACTGGTGCCTCCTGATAACATGTCCAAAGTACATGAATGAAAGTCTCACCATCCTCGCTTCTAATGAGCATTCTGGCTGTACTTCTTCCAAGATAGATTTGTTTGTTCTTCTGGCAGTCCATGGTATATTCAATATTCTTCACCAACACCATAATTCAAAGGCATCAATTCTTCTTCAGTCTTCCTTATTCATTGTCCAGCTTTCACATGCATATGAGGTGACTGAAAACACCATGGCTTATGACAGGCACATAGTACCCTGAAAAAGCAGTTCAAGCGTATTCTAGTGTTGTTTCTTGTCAACTTACTTCAAAAAGATGCTGTAAAGGACTGGACTGGAGTTTTTCTTCATAACCAAACAGCTGGAAGCCAGTTCCCAGAAGACCTACCACAATAATCAGTAAATGAAAAGATTATAAAATAGAAAAGTAGAGAAAAGCCATGGCAGGGTACAGGTATAGTTCTAGAGAAAGATCACCCTCTCATAATTATGTGCCCTGAGAATTCTCCCAAAACACAGGCTATTACTTTCTGCTACCACATAAACTGACACAAGTCAAGTCCAATACATGGTACACCACTTAAATTAATTTCATAGAAACAAACAGACTATGAGCTCTTCAAAGGTAGGGCCCAGGACTACTATATCTTTGTACCAATGCTGCCTAACACCTCCCTAGGGGACATTAGTAAAACAAACATTTATTGAACAGCTACTCTCTGAAAGTGCTTAAGGATGCAAGGCACTGGATACTCAAAATCTGTGAAAATAAACTGATGAAAAGTGGTTTAGAAACTGTAAGTTTGTAGGTGTTAAAATAAAATTAGGAATGAGCTTAAACCAAAAACAAAAACAAAGACAAAGACAAACCCATTGCTGTTGATGGGCTCAGTGTTATAAAATTACTCCTTAAACAAATAACTGGAAGAAAGCAAAAACAGATATAACTTGAAACATTCCTGATTACTTCTCCTATTTAAAGTGACCAAACAACAAAATTCTTCTTTTATTTGGTCATATATTTGTTTGTCAATTTTAGTTTTTCAGTCTTTATCAGTTCAGAATTCAGGGATAACATCAATTTTTTTTCTTTTCTTTTTAATACTAATTGAGGTTTTTGAACTAGCAATGAAATTTTCTAGTATGGACTGTGAATATTTATACTCTCGAGCTATTTTGCTAAAACTTGATCATAACTGTGGTTTTAAAGGATATATGCAGTCTGGGGTCAAGAGCAATAACGAAAAAAACCAAAAAAATCCCCAAACCCATTGCCGTTCAGTTGATTCTGACTCCTAGTGACCCTACAGGACAGAGAAGAACTGCCCCATAGGGTCTCCAAGGAGCAGCTGATGGGTTCAAACTGCTGACCTTTTGGTTAGCAACTGAGCTCTTACCCACTGAGCCACCAGTCTGTTTATACAACTATATCAGGTTACCAAGCTTCTAAAGAAGCTGCTGCCAGTGGGCCTTGCTGAGGTACACTTTTCCATAAAAGGTTCAGCAGAAAGGGGGATGCTACTGAACACAGGATACACAATACTTTGGAGCGTAGACAGCAATGAGAAGTACTACTGAGGTATGGACCAGCTCTACTTGCTTTCAAGCAAGAGCAAATGTGATTATGATTCAGGGCCTTGGGAGCAGGGTGTGGAAAAATGCCCAGCGTGCTCTAAAAAACAGAAACCAGAAAAGTAAAGTCAATTACATTTAACATTCAATCTAATACATTTTCAAAAACTAATTTTGTGCTTAGGAGCTGTCTGCCAACTTTTAATAGGGGATAGGATTTGAAATAACTAAAATGAAAACTCTTCAGCAATGATGACTATAATGGAAATGTTGACAGATCATTAACCACAGTAGTCTTTTAGGGAAAAACTGCTATAATAAAATCCTGCAGCTAAAATTTAATGAATACCATAATCACATATTTGCTAATGCCTGTGAACTGTCTAAATCGGTCAAACTAATATAAAGTGGATGGTATCTAGTAAAGCTGGACTGTCAAGCCTAGAGCCTAAACCTCTGAATACCAGCTGATGCAAACTGCAAGTGGATTAGTAAAACGCAGGACATGTTCTGATTCCTCCACAGTGAGTATTAAGGGTGCTGTAATAGGTTCACGTTCTACCCTTTCTAAAGTCTAAAAAAGATTTTTATTAACTGAAAGAATACTATTCATAAGAGAAGGTCCTGATAAATCTATTATTAAAAAAAAAAAAATTCCTTCAAATGAACTGGCCTTTCTTTTGGAAACTACAATTTCATTTCGCTAGATACGGAATATAATAGTACCAGCAAACTTTAGAACTGGCAATGAATATTTCATACTTTATAGAAGCTTTAAGATATCACCTAACCTTTCTTGTGGATTAATATTGTAAAAGACTTCCGAGTACAGATTCACTCATCATTCTGACTGCCTTTTATGTGCCAAGTGCTGTGGACACAAAAATAATTAAGACACCGTCCGCAATTTCAAGGAGCATGCGGTCTCACACGGAAGAGAAACACATGGACGTGGATACAACGATACAGAAATCTATCTGACTAGAGCTGGGTACTAGGAACTTGGTGATGTGAGAAGGTGGGCAAGGATGTGTCTGTGTGTCACAGAATGCTTTACAGAGGTGACACAAGGGGTGCATCTTAAAATACACATGGTAGTTGCCAGAGATGCTTAAAAGTTTGTATTCCACATGCTACCAGTCCTTCACTACCTTGACAACTTCATTTACCTTGGTACCCTCCCATCTCCAAAAGCATTCCTCAATTACTGGTTTAGGTATATGAGCTAGGAATGATTCTGAATAAACTCATGATATTAGAGATCATTTGTGGCACTCAGCTATTAAGGTCCCACCTCCACGGTCTCTGTTTCCTCTCTTTTCTTTTTGATCCTCCCACTGTGCAGTTAAAGGGGAAGTCAAAGTATCCCACTTTGCTTTTCCTTTGGCCCACTGGCCCCTGGTATTTTAACAACAGACCCCCTCCTCATGCAGGATGGCTCAAGGAGGCTGGACCTCACTAGATTTAAACACGGCAGGGCAGTGGTTGAGAAGGGTGTATGTAACAAAACTTCTTCCTGCATACTTCTACACTTAACTAAAAATGTAAGCTACTTTTCTTTATTAAAACCGCAAAAACCTATATATATCAGGTCTTGCTCTGAATGTGTAAAGTTTCCTCCCCCAAAATTTACTTGTGTGGTAAGAGTTACTCTATGAAAAAAAAAAAATCTTTTATGCAAAAAAGTCATTAGGAAAAAAGAACAGATAGGAGGCCCTACTTCATCTAATGGGATTCTGCCTATATTCTGTCCAGATGATCAAGAGATATGATATTAAAAGAAATTAAACTTTATGAGGAAATGGAAAAAAAAACAAAAAACAAAATCACAAACGTACTTACCAAATTGCATGCCCCAATCTCCGAGATAATTTATTCTTGTTACTTGATGTCCTAAAGCTTCTTTGAGATTTGCTATGAAATTCCCTAGTAATCAATAAAATATACAGTTTCTCATTCTTGTTATCAGCTTTGGTGTAAGAACTATGTGCTTCTCTATTATTAAAGCATAACATGGTAAATTCTTTTCACAAAATTTACCAACTCAATCTTTTTTTACTAGAACATTCATAATAGTGCTTTCATTTATGCAATGGAAAGGGAATAAGGAATTACTTTTGGGGCAGTTATTCCAGAGTATCCCGATTTCACCCAAACAGAATTATCATCAACATTAATGGGAGTTGGGAACACAGGTTTGAGTAATTGCTATTCCAAGTCAACTCCAAGGACAGAAAATAAAAGAATCTCAGTATTTACCACGAAATACATAATTTGGCTGTGCCTCCAAGAACCTGAGCCACCTTGCTTTTTTCTTCGAAACAGCTAAGTCCATCCTCTGCAAGCCTGCTCCCTAATAGACAGCACACAGTAGTCTAAGGCCGTCTCCTTCCTGGACCGCCTATGGTGATTTCACTATTCAACAGCCCTCACATGCTGCAGAGGCCAGAAACCTAAAAATTACATTTCCCAGAATCTCTTGCAGTTAAGAGTTCCAGAAGTTATTTAGGTTCAGGTAATCAGATACACTCTGTGTGAGATTTAGAAGGTGGAAATGAGGTGGAGGGGAGGACTACTTCTATTTTTTCTGTTAAGCACAGTTGTGGAGGTTTTTTTTTTTGTGGCACCACTAGTAGGGGCCCTAGTGTCCTGTCATGACCTCTAAGGGTACAGAAAGACAGGATATGAGGCTGTGTCTTTAGCCAGTATGAATTCTAGAAGGCATGGCAGGAGTAGTAGCAGTTTCCTGATATTGACAGTGGTAACGTGCTTCTAGAGTAGTGGATTCCCGATTGCAGAAGAGCAGTAGCTCCCCTGCTGGTCAAGTTCTGTGGTGTAATTCTGGGAGGCATTTATAAATGTCAGCTTAATGCAAAGCTTCCTCAGCCTTTCCAACAACTTTGTAAGCCATTCCATATCCTGTAATAAATCCTTTTCTGCTTTTTCTAAGAATGGACTTAGTTTCTGCAACTAAAGCTTGACCAATACACATACCTGGCTTAAATTACTGCAGCAACTTTCTTTTGCAGCTTCTCTACTTCTAGACTTTTCATCTATATAGTCCCAGCAACAAGAATCACCTTCTTAAGCTGGTACTTAAACTGTATTCCCATTTTTTCTTAGTGCTTTATCACCTTACAATCCAATTAAATGTTTGAACCTGTTGTTGCTGTTAGGTGCCATCTTGTCAGTTGACTCTATGCACAACAGTTTGAACCTAGGCTTTTGGAATTAGACTGCCTAAGTGCAAATCCTGGCTATGATACTAGCTAAATGCTCTTGGGAAAGTTACTTTCAGTAACTGAGTTTCCTCGTCCATAAACCGGAGTTAACAGTACCTACCTAACAGAGCTGTTGTTAAATTGAATGAGATAATACATGAAAATACTCAGCATGGTAAGTTCTCAATAAATGGTCTCTCCTCCTGGTCTAAATATTTCCCTTAACAACAGTCAGACAACTTTATCATGCCCTACCCATCATTTAAGAAGCCCAGGTAGCACAACAGTTAAGTGCTCAGCTGCTAATTGAAAAGTTGGTTCAAAACCATGTAGCTGCTTCATAGGAGAAAGACCTATCGATCTGCTTCCGTAAAGATTACAGCTTAGGAAACCCTATGGGGTAGTTCTACTCTGTCACACTGGGTGGTCATGAGTCAGAAGTGACTAAATGGCACCTAACAACAAACTCATCATTTACTCACTCCTGTACTTTTAACTTATTCATGTTGGTTTTCTTTTATAGAATAACTACACTCCTGTTTTTCACTGAGCTCTGTCCTTTCTGCTCTTAAAATACTGCTTGAGAACTTTGTAATAAATAAGACCTGACCCTAATTCAATAATCATCTATGTTACAAAGTACCGATCCCTCCAATTCTTAAAATTATTCAAGTTTGAGTCAAATGACTTTCTCTTAAGTATGCAATACACAGATTCTTACAAAGGGAAGACAGATTATGTGAGATGACCTCTAAAGTCCCTTCCAATTCTAACATTATAAAAATTTAATTTCAATTTTTAAATTGGGCTACTGCATAATGTGCATGTTTTAAATAAATGAAAGTCATAAGCACATTATACACTGAAGCATTACAGCTATGATGTACTATAGTAATCAGTTTTTATTAGTCTCATTTTAATTTTAGTCTTGAACACTCCAGTTAGTACTCACATGGCTGAGACTGAGTTTCTTTTCTAATATAAAATATAATACATATAAAAAAACTGAGGGAATTACTATCATTTTATCACATAACTATTTTCATTTTATATCTTTCAGTTCTTCTCCATACGTATATATATTTAAATAAAGATAAAATCATAACATACATGCCAGTTAAAATTGGTTCCTTGATTTAATCTTTTCATTTTGAAATGAAATTCTTCTGTCCATTTCTAAACTATTTTTTTCCATTTCATGGAATATTTAGTTAGCATCAGGCTCAAATCACTTTGAAGTTTTTTTGTCTTTTTTTTTTTTCTTGGTCATTTAAGCATTAAACTGTTGGACTGTATTATCAGATACTGCCCCAATTACATGGTTAGTATTTTCTGTGAAACTAATGACACTTACCTATAATGGTAGAACGCAAATGTCCAACATGAAATTTTTTGGCAACATTAGGTGAACTGCAACAAATTGCAAAAGTTACTTTTCTGTCATAAAAACAAGAGCTCTAAAAATGAACTAGGCTATGCTTCCATAGTTTAACCTAATTGGGGGCCAAGAATTTGGTAATTTAGGGCAAAGGTGAGTTAAAAATTAGAAATTTAAAACAAACATAAAACAGAATTCAGAAAAAAATCCTCTTCAGTGAAATTGCTCCTGTGAGTCATGAGGATGTACCAAACACAGAAGTGGTACACTTATTAAGCAGATACACTTAAGTACTGACAGAAAGATGATGAAATTTGGAAATATTGTTTTAATGTAAACAATGTAGATTATTGGGAACTAAGTTTAGTGCAATGGTTCTCAAATCTCAAACTCTGAAAAATTACTGAGGATCCCAAGGAAATTTTGTTTATAAGGATAATATCTATCAGAACTTACTGTATCAGAAATTAAAATAGAAAAATAGGAAATACTTATGCATAAAAATTTCCAAAATAATGAGAAACCTGATTCATCACTCCAACTACTCAATCAACACATTTATCTTGAATCTGGGTGATGAGCATATGGGGGTTAATTATACTATTCTCTCTGTTTTGTGTGTATTGGAAAATTCTGTAAGTTTTTCAATATGAAAAAAAAGATAAATTAACTTGAACATAGCTAACTAAAAGTGGTAAAGTTGGAGCTTAAATTTTGTTCATTCTGACTCCAAAGTCTTATTGTATACACTTTTTAAGGATTTTATAATTTTAAAACTTGATCTTACAGATTTTATGCACGTAATTGTGAAATTATGAAACTACAAGGATGTTCATTTAATCATTTAGAAAGAAAGTAAATGTCCTTCTGAAGGGTTAAATAAAAAGTATTCTTCCACTGCTAGCCAAGATAAAATAACAGGGACTAGACTTACCCTTCTGCCTTGAGCAACGAAAAAAACCAGAAAAATATATGAAACACTGTTTTTTAGATACTGGACAACAGGCACTAAAGACTGTGATCCCTCACCAGTTTTCAATTTTTCCATGGGTAATCAGTGAGACCCCAGAAGATAATGATAAAACCTCCACCTGCCCAGCCAGCTTGATTAACCAACACATAAGATGGGTAGGTACTCACCTGAATTCAACCACTATCTTCTTCTGGGGAAGATCAGAGAAAAGTTCACTTTTTAATCCATATTTTGAGCCATCTTCGATTACCTGTTGTAACACTGTCTAAAAAGTAAAAGGCATGAGATTTAGTGATAGGAAAAAACAGCAATTTTCTTAATTACTTTGTTACTGGGAATTAAATATTGCTAATTTGCTAATCCAGGGAGCTGCTATGACCAGGTCACAGTGGACATGTAAAATGAAACCTATTTGTACTGTCTGCTCTAGAATCTCAATTTACCATTGTTCTTGGGTATCCAAGCCAGAGGACTGCCACATTGAGGAGACTGCCTTCTTTCTTAAATAATTAAATGTTGGATTCAAGAAAGAGCAAACAGTATTATTCTTGAATTCTACACCCATCAATGATCCACCAATCACTACCTATTTCCTTGCTGATTAGTTTAGGGACTAGTAAGAGGAAGAGTCCTGGTAGAGCAGCGGTTAAAGTGCTCAGCTGCTAACCAAAAGGTCAGTGGTTCAAACCCACGGGATAAAGATGTGGCAGTCTGCTTCTGTAAGGATTTACAGCCTTGGAAACCCTATGAGGTAGTTCTACTCTGTTCTTACAGGGTTGCTATGAGTCGAAATCCACTTGATAGCAGTGGGTTTTTGGTTTTAATTTGCTAATGCTAATTTATGGAAATGAGAATTTTGTAACAGCGGTAGCAGCGCCACCACCTCCACCATCACCTTCTCCCATTACTAATGCTAGTCAGAGTAGCAATAACATGATTAACATCTATGGGGGTCCTCGGCCCTTTTATAGGTTCATGTCTATTAATACAATAACCGATGCTGTAGCTCTTTTGCAGAGGAAGAAACTGAAGCTTAGAGAGGCTAAGTAACTGCCAAAAGTCTCACAGGAAGCAAGAACAACAAAACCAGAAGCAGTATCTATTAACTACTACATGATGCTGCTGCTGCTGCTTTGATGACACTAATGATCACAAGCAATGGTAGAAGACAAATAAAAATGATAATACCAACGACTACTGGCCATTTAATTAAAAAAACAAGGAAACTTCACAGAAGCTTCCAAAACATATTCCAGGTTTTTAGTTATTAACATAGTACTATTTTATAGTTCACAAAATTCATATTTTATTTTGCTAATGGTGATGATGCAATTTTTTTCTAATGCAGGGTTTTGAATTACTGTGATAAATGTATATTTACTCTTACATTGGTTTTGCTTCACACACTGGAATTTGTGTCCTAAAAAAATGTAGTTTATGATGTGAAGAATTTTAGTAACATAAGAGTTGCTTTAGATGATCACTAAACTGAGCAGGCAGCAAAACAATACATAACAACCAATATTCAAGAAGGATTACAGAGTGCTAGGTGCTTCTATGTTACGGTTTTTAAAAAAATTTTTTTTTTTATTGTACTTTAGATGAAGGTTTACAATAGCTTCTCATTAAACAGTCAGTACACATATGGTTTTATGACATTGGTTAACAACCCCACGACATATCAACACTCTCCGTTCTCAAACGTGGAGGACCCTTTTTTTCCTTTTGGTGAAAATATACACAGCCAAAGATATACCATTTCAAAAATTTCTACATGTACACTTCAGTGACATTGATTACATTCTTCCAGTTGTGCTGCTATTCTCACTAACCTTTTCCAAATTATTCCATTACCATTATCTTCAATTCACTGCTCCCTAGGGTTCCCACCAAAACCTTTGAGTTGCTGTTGTCAATTTGATCTCACATGGATAATTTTTTTTTTTTTTGTACTTTAGATGAAGGTTTACAATAGCTTCTCATTAAACAGTCAGTACACATATGGTTTTATGACAATGGTTAACAACCCCACAACATGTCAACACTCTCCCTTCTCAACCTTGGGTTCCCTATCACCAGCTTTTCTCTCCCCTCCTGCCTTCTAGTCCTTGGCCCTGGACTGCTGTGCCTCATTAGTCCCATTTTGCTTTATGGGGCTGTCCGATCCCTGGCTGAACGGTGAACCTCAGGAGTGACTTCATCACTGAGCTACAAGGGTATCCAGGGGCCATGCTCTCGGGGTTTCTCCAGTCTCTGTCAGGCCAGTAAATCTGGTCTTTTGTTGTGAGTTAGAATTTTGTTCTACATCCTTCTCCAGCTCTGTCTCTATGTTATCTTAAAGCTTCACATTTCCCATTTACCAGATGCAAAAACTGAGGTTCAGAAAAAATTATTTGCCGAAGGACACAGAGAAAATAAATGCTCTCTTCATTCACACCATACAGCAGTAAACACAGAAAAGGAACTAACACAGTATACAGATGTTAAATAGACTAGAGCCTGCCATACATTAACCAAAAAACCAAACCAGCTGCCGTTGGGTGAATTCTGACTCATAGTGATCCTACAGGACAGAGCAGAACTGCCCCACAGGGTTTCCAAGGCTGTAATCTTTGCAGAAGCAGACTGTCACATCTTTCTCCCGTGGAGCAGCTGGTGAGTTCAAACCACTAACCTTTTGGTTAGCAGTTGGCTGCTTTAACCACTGCACCACCAGAAACGTTGGTTACTCCAAAATGATTGGTGACGAGAAGATTGCAAGCAGGGAGATAAATATTAGTGAGAAAGAATCAGTACTCAAATTATTATGAATTTAAAGTCTATCAACCTTTTTACTTTCTATCCCTTTTCATGTAATTGACGGTAACAGAAAAATTTTCAAATCGTCTTTAGCAAATGACCCTAGGTTCACTTATTTTTCTGGCACAAACAAAAAAAGCATCTTTAATAAAAGACTATCTTATAAGCTCCACTTCCAAACCATCCATTGACATTGATATTCGATCCACTTGCTATCTAGCTTTTTTCACTACCACTTCACTGGAAAAAACAAAACAAAACAAAAAAAAAACCAAACCCACCGCGGTTGAGTTGATTCTGACTCATAGCGACTCTATAGGATAGAGAACTTCTCCATAGGGTTTCCAAGGAATAGCTGGTAGATTCGAACTGCTCACCTTTTGGTTCCTCAAAATCAACATTCTAAATGTTAAATCCAAGAAATGCTTAGATCTTGTTTAGTATATTACTTTTATCAATATATTCTTTAAAAAAAATTTAAACATCTCAGATATGGCTAAAGCCTAAAGTCCTTATTAATCATCTGGGGAAGGTTACTGCCTTCCCCATGGGTAACCACTTTTCAAACATCATCTTAGGTGATAACTGCTCCCTTCTTCCAACCATCTTCCTTCCTTGGTTGCAATGACACTGCTCTCTGCTGACTTTTGCTTCTCAGTTTCCTTTGCAGGCTTCTCTTCCACAGCCTGCCCCCTCTTCCCGCCCCTCTGGCTTCCACTCTTGCTTCTCCTATGTGATTTTAACCACTCCTAGGACTTCAACTCTTACCAGCTTAATAGAATGTCTCCTGTGCGCCAGACTGATATATCAAACTCAGGATTGAACATGTCTCTCAGGTACTTCAAACTCAATGTACCTGCTCTTCCTTTTATACTCTTCATTTCCACAAACTTTATCCCTACTCATCAAGCTAACCAAGTCAGAAACCTATGAATTCCTAAGATATGTCCTCTTCCTCTCAATCTTCATAACCAACCATCTATTAATCACCAAGTCCTGCGTATGCTATCATTACAGTTGTCCCCTCTGTCCTGGTTTAGGCCCTGTCAGCTACACCACTGCAAAAACAACTACAACAAAACAATAACACCAACCTTCCTCTATAACACATTAATTAAATTAAGTTTCCATTTCAGTCAAACACTTCAATGATTCCCTTCACTGAAAGGATTTTACCAATTTCTGGTCTGATTTTTACTTTAAGTGCATACCACCTTTACTTTTTTAAAACTGAAATTGACTTGTTAAAGGGCATATTCTAACATCAAAAAACCCCCAAGAGTTAAGAAGTGCTAATTATTTTTGTGAAATAAATACATAACTATTAAAATGAAATAAATTTCATTAATGTATTACCAAAAATCATCACATGTGCCATCTGTGGTACACATAACATAGCATGGAAAATAATGACTAATAGGAAAAACAGAAACCCTTATGTAGCACATACAAAGCTCTTCTCACTGTCCAATTTCATATCCTCCTCTTGCCATCCCATGTGCAAAGCATACTCCGATGTCTTCTAATTTGCAGACAACGCCATGTACCTGACCATCTGTACTCTAGCCAAGCTGTTCCGTCTTCCTGGAATACCTTCCTCTGTGTCTCCCAGGTATGCTCCTCTTCATCTTCATCCCAAGTCAAGGTCCTCCCTCTCTTCTCAAGACAGACTTAGGTGTACCTTTCCTTACTCTGGGACTGTATCTTTTACACAACTCCATTACAACATTCATCACATTACCATACCCACCATATATTACACTGTGATTGTTTAATGTCTTTCTATCAGATCTTAAGCTTCTTGAGGGCAGGATCCATGCCATTTTACTTTTAGATCTCAGTAATATAGTCCCTGGCAAATAACAAGCAGGTTTATTGAATTAATAGGCACACAGAAGAAAGCTTTTAACCACAGAATGTCAGTGAGCTACCGAATGTTCTTGACATTCTAATCAATAAATAAGCTACAGGCCCATCTAGTCATCAGTATGTATGTATAAATATATTTTGCACTCATTAATGTAAATGTTGGTACCTAAAGGGTTTATAAACAGAAATTAAATCTTTCAAGGTTTACTTTTTGGAATAATTTAGTAAACTAACAAATATTCCAAAACGGCTGGTTACTTTCTGTTTGTCTACTACCATCATCTTTTTCTGTGAATGATTTTTTATCATCTAATCTCTTTGTTGATCAATATTTCTCTATGGTTCTTACGAGGACTTCTAGGGAAGCTATCACCACTATCTACTTGGCCTGGTCAATTCTTTGGTCAATAGTTGAAACGTGCTTAAAATCATTCACACATTCTTTCTGTGGGTTCAGTCACCTAGCACAATATGTGGCTTAAATGAATCCACTGCCTATAGACATAAACACAGTCAGTGAAATAATGAGCAAAATTGGAGTTGTTTAAATTAGTATCTCTTTTTCTGTCTTTTTGTAAATTTTGCAGAGCATGCAAGGTTGAATCTGGCAAATAAAAAAAATGCATGTGAAATAAAATGATGTTAACCATTACGTATTTCTGAGGCATACCTAAGAAACAGGGTTTTGTTTACGTTTTTCCTATTTGGTTAGACTCATGTCCCCTCACCCCTTCTTAATTGAGTTAGCTAATACTCCAGTTACAGTTTCTCTTGAAAGTCAATAAGCTACTAATAGGTGGAGGTCTGATACCAAAACGAGTTATTCACTTTTTTTTTAATGAACTGATCATACCAATTTCTAGCTTTGAAAAATTTATTATCTATTCCCAGAGATTTGTAGTTTCTACTGCCTTTAATTTCACATTCTGACCTGATAGGCAATCTTTTACAACCTGCTAACTCTGAGAATGATCCACATGAAGACATTTTAAGCCACTATTAGTGAACCAAACTTAAGCTAACATTTAATCACCACTTGTGCTGCCGGTGCTAATAATTCCATTTGCAGTGCAGGAACAGATATATTCTATGCGAGGCTACGTTTGCACATGTGGAAGCAATGACAAATTCATAACTCTCTGCCTGAGGAGTAAGTATTGGACATAGAACGTTGGTTACATCTCAATGTTGAAAACTTTAAAATGTTTTAAAATAGTTCTGGGAAGGGTTGAATTTTTTTCTTGATGTGATCTGAAAATTGAGAAGGATTTGGGAAGATTTTTAATAAATGAGCTAGTGGACATCCTTAAACCAGAGAAAATTCTAGTTTGTGAATTTTAATACTACATGAAAATTCATAGCCATTGTAATTTTAAAATATTAAGTTAAGTACATGCCTTACGTCAAAACAGAGACCACACATCTCTCAGCTAAGCTGGCTGTAAAGGTCAAACTCCATCTACCAGAGTCCATTTTCCTATCTCAGGCGGAGGGAAAAAAAAAACAAAAGGAAAACATTTCTACTGATCAAGTGGCTAGAAGTTTAGAGCACACTTTGGGGAACTGCATTTCTACTTTCATAAAAACCGAGGCAGCAATTAGAAGAAACAGTCACTTATTTAAAATGGTAAATTAGACTCACTAGTTCCCTAAGCCGACACAAAATAGCATCAAGAGCCCAGCAGGTCGTAGGCAATTTTTAACAAGATCAAAACATCTGTTCTTCTTGTCCTTGTGGCTTGTTTTTGGTTAACTAATTTATCTTGAAGTAAAGATTGAAAATAAGATAAAAGAAAAAAGTTCAAAGATCCAGATACAAGCATGAAACACTAACTCTTCTTCAGGAGAATTACAGGGCTGATGGGCCAATGCCTGTAAGCTGCATAACCCTCGCAAGAAAAGAAATAATTAAAAATTTGGGTATTATAGTTATTTTCAAGTCTGCAGCCATTTACTAACTAAGCCCGATCAACATGATACAGATGTTTGGTTTTTTAAAATAATGGACCAAAGCCTGCATTGTGATAAATTATAAAATTCAACTGAGATGAAACTCTCAACAAAAGGTCTTATACCACTGCTTAGACAGGATTATCTGCCCTCCAAGGCCTCTCTCAAGTGAGATGCAACTCCTCTGTGCGATTTCCCCAATCCCTCTAGGCCATCCTGATTTCCCCATCTCTGAACTTTCTTCTGCTTATTGTATAAATTATCATTTTTAAATATTTATTGTTTTATTAAAATAAGGAGCTGCTTATGGTTTCTTTTATATACATCTTATGCTTCCAACGGGTTACTAGTTACCAGAGAGCAAAAACCATTTCTAACACTTTTCTTGTATTCAAAAGAGTCCATTCATTTATTCAACAAATAAGCCTCCCACTGTGCTGGGAGGCTAAGAAAAACAGATGCTATAAGCTCTCATGGAAATTAGAGCTTAAAGGGCAACAGGCATTACTCAAATGAAAAAAAACAAAATTATTGAGTTTTCTTAGGCAAAAAAATGGTATTATAATTATGTGAGAGAATCTCCTTATTTTTAGAAAATACAGGTTTAGGGGTGAAGAGTTATGATTGCTGCAACTCATCTTCAAATGACTCAAAAACACACATATACAGAGAAAGATAATATGGCAAAAGGTTAACAATTGTTGAATGTAGGTGATGAGTATATGAGTGTCCACTGTACTATTCTTTCAACTTTTCTGTATGTTTTAAAATTTACCTGATAAAAAGTTATGGAAAAGATAAAAATAAAACAGGGCTGATAATCCCTACTCCATCTATTCTACCAAACCAAAACCAAACCAGTTGCTGTCGAGTCAATTCCGACTCATAGTGACCATATAGGATAGAGCAGAACTGCCACCTTAGCGTTTCCAAGGCTGTAATCTTTACAGAAGCAGACTGCCACACCTTTCTCCCACATAGTGGCTGGTGGGTTAGAACTGTCTACCTTTCGGTTAGCAGCTAAGCATTTAACCACTGTGCCACCAGGGCTCCTTATCTATTCTACGGCCACGGTGATGTTAAAATATTCAATGATCGATCAGGAACATAAATTAATATAGAAAAAATATTTTCTTTTATTCTTGAAATAACCTAAAAAACATATATTTCACACAAACACATAAACATCGAATGAAGGGGTACATATTATAATATAAATTATTCATCAAATCACTGTAATAATTTCCAAATCATTTTTTGAAGTTTAGAAATTGTTAACATGATCTTTTATTTCGCATATTGTCACTAGCTAAACAGTGCCCATTTGGGCCATGAATGACTTAGGAAATTGCAAAAAAAAAAGCAAAATAGCAACTGTGATAAATTCTTCAAAGAAGAGATACATAGTACTCTGTATGAGAATATATAAATGAGGGGGTCAGAAAGGCACTGCTGAGGAAATATCAAGAGCTGAAGGATAAGGAGTTAACTTGGGGAGGCACTCCGGGCAGAGGGATTAGCACGTGTAAAGGTTTTAAAAGTGAGAGGAGACACAATGAGTTCAACGACTGGAGGAAGATCACCGTGGCTAAAGAGACAGAGTGAAAGCATGGTGGCTGGAACATAACTCATTCTTACCTTTGTTAACAGCTCTCTGTTTATTTTGAAATTTACAGTCCCTTGACCAGTGCTGATTTCACTCACCACTGTATCACATTTTAACTGAAAAGATAACAAATTAAGTAAAATACATATGTTAAAAAATATACCTAATGAGATATGCAGCTCTAATTTTATAAAAACAGCTTATGAAGGCAGCAGGTGAGTTGCCTCTTGTGGTCAGTGTATCTGCACCGGGACTTTAGTTAGTCTCTTCAGTCCTGTCACTCTATTTAGGTAAACCTAGTTTCTTCTTTTCCTGACTAGAACACTATTCTCTACTCAGAGTCTCTCTTCCTCTTTCCCTTTCCCTCACCTCAGATTCTCCATCTAACATGGAAGAGTGCATCACTCTATCCCCCGCCCTGCCTATGCTGACAGTGAACACTCTGTTATCTCACCTACCTTTGAGTCACAAAACAAGACATATGTGAAGCCTACACTAAAGCACTTGTGCCAACATATAACATATAAATAATTTAAATACTGTGTCTTCTATGCATATAACTTTACTTTCTAATCTACTAGATGTTCAAAGTACCTGATAAACCTATGGAATGTGAAGAGATACCTGTTGCCTCTGAAGAGCCACTAGTCTTTATTTTTGAGAATTCACAAGAGATGTGGTAAATGGTCTAAATATTTTATTTAGAAATAACTCAACTCCTGGTATGCTTCCTGATAAAAGTAGGGGGTGATTTTGCAATCAAATAAGTATTTATTCAGCTACCAAATCTCCCTTCTTACACTCTTTCATTAATTAAATGTCTTTTTCTAAGATATTGACTTCAAAGATACTGAATTTCATTGCTCCAATTCTTCAGAGTGCCCAGATGTTGTAAACCTATCAAAATAACCTTATCAACCATCTGCCTTTTCTGATGGTGTCACACTAACAATTTAGATTTGGTCATTCTCTGCAATCCTTTCAATTCTTCTTTTAGCTGCCAAACCCATCAGAGAAATTAGAAAGTGAAGAGGTTTATTAAATCATCTAACCACCTCTTCTTTGCAATCATGATTTTATTTACATCTAATTACTTCTCATATTTTAGTGTTCATCTTCTCAGAAACTCATTAAAAAATTGCAACCCATTGCTCTAATTTATCAAGCTTGTTCTCCTAAATTCAGAAGTCCATCCAGCTTCAATCTGTAAATTTAGTTAACACTTCAGTCCTTTCAGTAATCAAAAAACTGAACAATGTCAGCTCAAGAGGAATGCTTTCTAACTAATTTGAAAAATCATCATAACCTCACAGTACAGGGCTAAAATGAATTTACATTACATTTTCTAAGGTGTCTTGAACAAAGAAACACTATTAAATCATTATTATGGCTGAGATAGCCTGCAGAGTATTTTTTTTTCTTTAAAATAATAAATAATAAGTTTATTACATGTCAAAAAGACATAATAGTGCTAAAGTACCTTCTCTGCCAGTCTCTTGGCTTGATCTTGAATATCTGGTCTCAAATGGTCACTGTTGTTTTCCAATAGAGAATCCACAGAAAGCTGAAAATCTGCTACTTCTCTAAAGACAGACATTGAAATGGTTAAAAGCTGTTGTTACCTTAAATTATTATTAGCATAACAAAGACTAATCACTTTGGGTTCTCCACATCAACCCAATTTTATAAGAAGGTGGTATGCTTTCAAAATAAAAAGCAAGGAAATTAGAAATATGACATTTATTTAGAACTATTATCTTTTTATCATTTTATAAAATTTTTCCTTTTCTATTACCTAACTGTAGCTTTATATTATCTCTGTGAGATAAGTACAACAGTTATTTTATAGATGTGAAAACTGATGTCTGACAAGTTAATCAAACATCTTCCCTAAAATCCTACTACAAGTTAATAAGCAGACTCAGGGGGAAAAAAAAACCCACACCTCCCGAACTCTTCTACTATGCTCGCCTATTTCAAGGTCCCTTCAAGTGACCATTTATATCTTTAAAACAATCAAAGCCAGGTATTTTTAAAATGCTGTGATTTTACTTTTCAACATAAGAAAAAGAAGAATATTATTTTTAATACTCAGTAGTTCATTAAAGAAACACTTTAGCGATTGCCATTTGTCCTTTTCATTGGGTTGATAATGAAACGATGCAAAAACAAAGAAACAGAGAAACAAATGCAAAGCAATCAATTAATAAAAACAATCATTTGCTTCATAATAGCGATTATTTCTATGTCTAGGGAATGAGGGTGGGGAATGGAATCAGGTATGCATATACACAGCTTTAACAGTATTCATAAAGTTTTATTTAAGAAAAAAAAAAAATCAAGATTGTGCCCTCCTCACTGCAAAAGAAAGACCTGAAGTAAATCTGGGGAAAAGATCTGACAATACAAAGTAAGCATGTGAGTACTCATTACATTTTTCTCTATAAATATTTCTGTAGATTTGAAATATTTCAAGGTATAAAAAATATTCTTTTTTAAATCAATCTACAAACATCTATTTAACTATCTATGCTGAACACCTCCTGATGTTTAATAAAGAACCAGGGAATGAGACTACATGGGTAGAATAAAGTGGGTTGATCCACTGTCTATCTAGTCCATCTGTCACTGGAACAAAAAGGCGTATTTTGAAGGGGCAAAAGTGACTTCTTTCATGTCACTCCTGAAATTTAGGGATATGCCTAAAATATCTTGTGTGGCTTCTACTTAACATCATATTAAAGAACTTACTCTTTAAGGATCATTAAGAATTTTCCTGAGACTTCCGGGCAACATTGTGCTATAGGCAGAAGCACCACACCATCCCTCCACAGCAAAGATCTGAAAAACTAAGCCAAACGAGAAAACTGCAATCCTGAAACCCTAAGCATCCAAATGAAGAGATAAAGAACTCAGCCAAGCACCGAATGGAATAAGAAACTGACAGAGAACAGAGAGCGAGGAGAGATACATGCAGAGGTCCCCTAGCAGCTAAAGCAGCACGGATCCACCATCTTGGACTCTTATCAGAGACCAGTGAACAGGGAGTATAAGAAAGCAGCTTCATGGAGCTTCCAGCAGGAGACAGAACAACTAGTAACCAGCGATATACGCTTTCCCACCCTGCACCCTTCTTCACCCACATTCAGCCTCTTCTGCTTCCAGCAGCCACAGTCTCTTGGCCGGGAAGCATTGGCTTCACCCTGGTGTCGCTTGGATTCTACCAGCGCGCAATGGCTGGCTCCCTAAGTGCCATTTGTTGGCTGCTGGTGTTGCTTTTTTCTGCTCTTTAGATTTCTTTCTTACCTCTCACCATCTGCTCCTCCTTTCTTTCAAACACCTGGCTCTGTGCGCCATCTCTGCTTCTTCCTGAAAGGCTGTGAAATGCCACTCGAATGTGAGATTGTTTCCTGGCCCGTGATGCCACACTGGTAGGATCCCAGGGCTTTTTTTTTGGTTTTGAATTGTTTTCCTTTTCTTTTCTCAAACTGGGAGCCCGTTCTAGCTGGGCACTAATGCACAGCTTGGGACTTACCCTCTTAGTTTCCACAGATGCAAGGAGGGATCCCTGAGGGCATTTCTTTTATCTTGTTTTTCTTTTTTTCCTCCTCCTTCTTTTCCTGTGTTTTTTTCGGGGCTTTTCTTGTTATTTCTTTTTTAATTTGTTTGTTTTCTTTTCCCTTTTTTATCTTTCATTACTCAGTTTCCTGTCTCTCTATACTTTCTTTCTCTTCCTGTCCCATGAATACCTGGCGCTGAGTGACACTTTTACCCCTTTTAGACAAGCTGTACTTTACGGCCAGGGAGCAACCTCCCCTGACCTCGCAGCCACACAGTGGGATCCCTGGGAGCTTTTCTTTTCTTCCTAATTTTTATTTATTCATTTCTTTTCTTCTTCTCCTTTTTTCTCTATTTCATAGTCTCTCACTCTCCACTCCAATGACAAGCTCCCCTAGCACTCTTTTTTGTTTGTTTTCATGTTTTTGGCATCTATTCCTCTCTCCTTTCTCTCTCCTCTCTCCCATACCCATCTTAGCTTCAAACATCATAATCTCCCGCCTCCATCCTGCATACCTGCACCGTGCGCTGAACATCACACCACCAAGCAGCCTAGGAACGGCCTCCCAGAACCTGGCCTGCACTGATTACTGGCCTGCCCTGGTGGCCGCAGTAAGTGCCACAAACAACCCATCCCAGCAACTCCTCTTCAGCTAGACCTGCCCTGCTGTACCATATCTGAGCGACTGACCCTGCCAAGTGCAGGAGGTGAAAAGTACCATGCCCACAGATGAGCAAACAACAAAGAACACACAACCGACCTGCTCACAAATAGCCAAATAAAACCAAAAAGCAGGATGAAACAAACAAGTCTACAATCAATAAATGAGAAAAATAACTACTGAATGCCCTGAAGACAGGAGACAATATCAAAACATTTACAAAAACAGGATACGATGCTTCCAGGAGGCATCCAAAATAAAATACCAGGTAACTTTCCAGTAGAACAAACAACACTAGAATTACCTAATAGGGAATTCAAATCTCTAATATTCAGAGCTATCCAACAGTTGAACCAAAAAGTGGACAAAAATAGACAAATTCACAGAAAAGGCAGACAAATTCATATAAAATACAGACAAAAAAATGGAAGAAAATAATACAGGAACAAAATGCCAAAATAAATTCATAACTATAAATCATATAAAAACAACAATTAGAAATCCAAAAAATAAAAAACAAGATTTCAGAAATGGACAGTGTCATAGAAGAGGAGAGGAGCAGGTCTGAAACACTGGAAGACAGAATTAGTGAAACTGAAGACAAACACCTGGATACAACTCTGTTCGAGGAAAAATCAGAAAAAAGAACGAAGAAAAATGAAGAGACCCTGAGAATTCTGTGGGATACAATCAAAAGCAAAAATTTGCGAGTGATCGGAGTTCCACAACAGGGGGAGAAAACAGAAAACACAAAAAGGGTCAATGAAGAACTGCTGACAGAAAACTTCCCCAATATCACGAAAGATAAAAAGCTAGCCATCCGAGAAGCTCAACGAACTCCATATAGGATACACCCCGAAAGAAAATCACTAACGCATGTCAATCAAACTAAATTTACAAGAATTATTAAAGGGAGTCCTTTGATCTGAGAACAAACAACTTCAGCTCACAGAATGAATCCAGGACGCAGGATCATACCAGCCAGATACCAATCCAGGAAATGAACTCTCAAGGACTATCCAAAACCAAAAGAAATACAACAAGGAATCAGAGTACTTAATCTGTAAATGACAACAACATCAGAACAATAAAGGAGGGAATAAATGGTGTAGGTACAGAACCTTCTAATGGTGAAGGAGGCAAGGCGGTACCAAGTAATAACAGACTGCTTCAATCTTAGAAAGATATGGGTAAATTTCACGGTAACCACAAAGAAAGTTAACAAACCTACTCAT